ATTCAGCTTTATATAGTTTAAGCTCGTTCTAATAACAGCAAATTCATCTTTCTACAATTTTTGCATATACCACACCAATCCTTTGTCGAAATTCACTTCTTTCGACATCTTTCAGTCTGGATCTTTTTGCGTCTATCCATACTTTTTATAATCACAGTGGACATTTAAATTCTATTTTATCCACCTTTTTCAGACTAGTAATTCATCTTCTCCTAAAAAATCCTCTACACCGATAGAACCTCTTAGTCCCTCGCCTCTTATTCGTAGAGACTTGCGACTTGCTACCGTAACCGGTGTGGAGGTGAACTCTTTAGGCCATTCATCTCAGGCAGCCGTTGAATATCTCCAGGTAATTTAATGCTTTCCATTTTTAATCCTCCTTATAGCAACCACTATTTCTATAGAACCGGCATTATTTTGACCATTTGGTCCTATCTTTACCATCGTTGTATCACATATAGGGGGTTTATTTCGAGCATCCACTCATATTCTAGGAAAGCTTATGTTGTCGTTTTACCCATAGACTACCATCCTGCATTTGCTTATCCCATAGCCTTATGAGCGATGCAAGCTTCCCATAAATAAGATTTTTTCTCACTTTTGTTCTATTATTATAGCTGGGGGCCTCACTATCACGATTCTATAAAAGTTGAATTGTTGCTACATTTAAAATGTAATATTTATTAAATTGAATTATCAGTTCATGCTATCTTTTGAATTGTCAATGAATTTTATTATAGATCTCCCTTGCTCCTATTTCCACTGTCTATTTTTCAAGCATCATATTAATTCTTGACAAAATCGCTTACATTACATTCTTTCTGTACCCTTGGAAATTATCTAGTCCTTGCTGAAACAACGCGATGGCGAAATAGCTCAACTTCGGCGAGAGCTTGCTCGCCGCACTACCATCCAGGAGGTGTTGATGTCTGAACTAGCCCAGCAGACTGCTCGAGCTAACCAGTTGGCTAGGCTTGCCGGTGGGGAACTTTCTGCTGTTAGGATAGCATCATCAGTGTCACCACCACATACTACTACGTCGACCTCAGACCACACAACCACAGATCAAAGTTATAAATCCCTTTGCCTCCCGGCCTCTTCTGAAATATCTGACCTGCTTAGTCAATCACTGAACTTGGATATTCCCATTTCAGGGGTGGCTTCTGAATCGGCTCTTAATGAACCTCTGGCTAAGATTTTCAATCCCTACAAAGGCGTTGAGACTGGTAGTACTAATATGCATACTGCTAATATTGTTGGTGACAGTCTGGTTACCCTCAACATCAACCGTTTCTTATCATCAGATGACGTGACCGACGAGCTACAGAGGCGTTATGAAGCTCTTCTGCAGATGTACGGAGAGTTGTATGAGCAGAATAACGAATTAAAGCTCGATTTGATTGATATCAAAGAGATGTATAAGTCTCAGGTAGTTTGCATTTTCTTTACTTTCTCCGGTTCTTTAGCTTCGGATAGTATACATTTTGCTTTTTTTATATTATTTGTATATATTATCTTATAGTAAGAATTTCAATCTTCTCACCTCTAACTTTTTGCCTTGAGATGGTCTACAGGATGCAACCATCTTGGTCTTAGTTGTTATTTAAAGAGGCTAACCTTTTAGCTATCGTGAATTTTCTATTATGGATCTTTAATTGGAGCTTAAAACTTCTCCATTTTTAATTACCTGACTACAAAATTGTACTTCAAGCTTATTTGACACAAGTAATTATACATTCATCTAGAAAAATTGTGTACTGTTAGTCTATTCTTATTATTGTATAATTGATTTTGATCTTAATGGTATACCAAAATATTTCTAACCTTGATTTTTCTTCTATTGCGTTTGTATGAAGACTGAAATGTATCTCATGTTTTTATTCGTTACTCGCTGGCCCTTCATATATTTAAGTTTGTTAAAATAGGTGTTTTGTCTCGTGCACTTGTTATTTTTATGCCTATTTTTACTTCTTTGTCTGGCGATAAATTATAATTATTTTTAGAAGAGGGTTGACCTTGTTGTCGCAACCTGGCCTTGTTGTCAGGGCGACTTAGAATAACGTACCTTGTCCGAAGTCCTCTGCCATAGTATTTATCATAATTCCCAGCATCAGACAGTGGACTAGGTACATTCTCAAACGTTTCGCCGGCATCATCAGTGAGTGCTGCTATTATCCGCACCAAGCTACGAACTCATCAAAGAGATAAATGAAGTCAATTCATATACAAATTCTCTGCCAAAAACGGTTACACTATCACTCCTCTTTCTGTCCTGACCTATCTATCTACTCTTATCCCATTGCCGCCCTATCACAATTTCTCACTTGTTTACATTCCACTCAATATGTGTACCCTTTTGTGGCAAATCTAGTATACCTCATCGCACCTGCTATTAACTCCCACCCACTATCTTTTGATCGGCTTTTCCTCTCATGGTCCCGTAGATCCGTTCCTCCTCTTTCTGGTCGACGGATTTACTCGATTCCAGTCCTAGCGTGCATTTACTCCAGACGCTATTTATCAAAGCCCTAGAAGCACGTACACTGTCGCCTCACCGAGAAGAGCACCTAGGCTTTGATTCCCATGCTTGCAGATATCAGGCATTGTCTTCACGAGTCGTCTGCTTGACTAAACCCATGTTATATGAGATGTATTTACCTAATTTCGTTTATTGTGATGAAGGACTAGTAGTAGTAGCTTTGCTTTCCCAAAAGTTGTTCTCTTTCAAGGTGGACTGCAGTTTAGACTTCGCATCGGTCTTATCAATACCCCCAGTGATAGTCGAACTGTGACAGTGGAAAATGTGAGCTTGACACGTTAATCATTCGGCCACATTTCCACGAGTGCCCTTGGGTGACAGGGCAGATGTGAATTCCAACCTCGCATCTGCCTTATCAACACCCCCACTGTCACGGTTCGACTCCCGCTGGGGGTGTTGATGCGATTTCGAAACTGCAGTCCACCCTATATGAGAACAGCTTTTGGGAAAGCAAGGCTATGCTAAATTTAATGGAAACGTCAGCTCTACTCATATAAATGTGGAAAGATTCTACTACCAGTCCTTCATCACCTTAAACGAAATTGGGTAAAAGATCTCATATAACATAGGTTTAGTCAAGCAGACGACCCGTGAAGGCAATGCCTGATATCTGCAAGCATGGGGATCAGAGTCTTGCGCTCTTCTCGGTGAGGCGATAGTGTACGTGCTTCTAGGGCTTTGATAAATAGCGCCTGGATGCACGCTAGGACTGGAATCGAGTAAATCCGTCGACCAGAAAGGGGAGGAACGGATCTACGGGACCATGAGAGGATTAGCCGATCGAAAGGGAGTGGGCCGGGGTGAATTGCAGGTGTGATGAGGCATACTAGATTTGCCACAAAAGGGCACATATTTTGACGAGTGGAATGTAAACAAGTGAGAAGTTGTGATAGGGCGAGAGTTTGATAAGAGGGTAAAGGGTAGATAGATAGGCCAGGACGGAAAGAGGATTGATAGTGTAACCGTTTCCAGCAGAACGTTTGTCGAGAGATTGACTTCACCTGTCTCTGACGTGTTCGTACCTCGATGTGGAGAATGACAAAACTTATTGATGGTGCCCGCGAAACGTTTGAGAATGTACCAAGCTCACTGTCTGATGCCGGAAATCATGACGACTATGGCAGACGACTTCGGACTAGGTCCGTTCTACTAAGTCGTCCTGGCAACATGACCAAGTTGCAATGAGGTCAACTCACTTCTATAAATCTAAAGGAGACTGCGACAATACCGGAGGCCACATCCAGATCTTCATATCTTCTATTATAATTATTTTCTTATTAGTTATCCTTTTTAATTGCTCTTTTCCTTATTCATACTCCATATTTTCCCTATTCCTTTATTAACTGGTTCGCTGTACTTTTCTATAATATTGTGTTAAATTCCATTAGTTCCCTGCTTTTGTACCCAGCTTGATTTGAAAATTTTTAACGGCTATTTCTAGGTAGGGCTATGAATTAATTCTCTCTGACGATCTATGACATGCCACATTTTAAAACTATATTAAAGAGTCGGCATGATGTTCGTTTGGTCTTAAATTGTTTTTAAGTGCCTTATTCCGACGAGATACCAGCAGTGATATTATTTTGATAAAAGAAATTTAAAACCAAAATAATTTTAACGTCTCCTATATGTTGCTTTTGAGTTCTGCTATACTGCAAAATTGTAAATTTTAATTTAGATTAGTTGAACATTTTATTCTATATTTCTTTCTATATGCGTACGAAACGCTTATGTTCTTGATTTGTCTTGTTATTATGGTTAATCCTAATCTTTATTTTCCAGATTGATGTTCTTCTTGCTAAGGGTTGTTACCAACATTGATTTGTATAGCAGCAATATTTTACTCCACGACCCAACGCGGCTTCTTCAGCATTCTTTTTTGAATTGGTTGTGATTCTCAACTTTAATTCTTTTATAAGAGGAAAACTTTCTTTTATGTAACTTATTCAATAAATTTATTTGATATACTGATGCTAACTTATTTTGTTTTCTCATCATGATTACTATATTTGAAGTTTAATGTAATAAATGCACTATAGGATTTCCAGCTTAAATAAGAAAATATATTCAATAGGTAAT